CTTTAACATAACTTAACATAACTTTAACATAAGGGAATAAAAGTGAAAAAATGTTGATAAAATGGTGCTAAAAATATTTACCCTGTTGATAATATTGTAAAGAACCCAGATACATAATTAATAGAGAACTTTTGTAAACATTTCAATTTTTGATATTGCAGTTACAATCTCCATAGTATTTTCAATTCAATGGCAACTTTTTGAGATACTGGCCGACAGTAGAATATCCTGACATAAAATATCTGTTTTACACGATACCGAACGATAAAAATCTATTAATGTATTGCTCACGTACAGTAGCATATTCAGATTTCTTGATTGTTAAATATAAGCAGAAGTGGTGGTGGTGTGGTGTATTTAATTACGGCAAAGCACACTAGGGCTATCTGCCAAAGAGGAGGGATGCCTTTCGTGGAGGACTTTCTAAGGGAAACTGGCTCGTATACACGTTACACATGGGGAAAACCACGAAAATACCCATGCAGCCAGCCCGTTCGCGGGATTCGAACCTCGGACCGAACTACCAGTGTTCAGCGACTTTACCGCTCGGCCGCTGGTGGGCTATATAAGCAGAAGAAAATATAAACTCGATAAGGAGAATATTTATATCAGAGACCATAGTTGAAGAATTCGAAGTATAAAAAAATCGATGATACATAAATTAAAGCTTTCAGTGACTACTCAGATTCTCGATGATCTCTACGATGATAATTTAATGAACGATGATAATTTAATGTTAGAAAATTTAATGAACAGCGAATAACCTTTTCTGCTTTAGATGAACTTAACTAGAGAGTAGAACTTTTCGACTTTACATGAAGTTAGTCAGAATTAATTTGAAACAAAAATTGAAATTAATCTGATAGGATATGATAATGAAATTTTCCATAAAATTTAAATAATGTCGGATTTGAATTAACAGATCATGGTCATAAAGGGGAGAGTCTAATGTATTTACCACCCAGACGGGATCGTGATTAGCGACGCTAACTGTCGTATGTATGGAAGGGCCAGGTTCGAATCTCGGAAAATGTGTGTGTGTGTGATTATGGCAAAGCCTCGAGGGCTATCTGCCTAAGAGGAGGGATGCCTTCGTGGAGGACTTTCTAAGGGAAACTGGCTCGTATACACGTTACACATGGGGAAAACCACGAAAACCCCCATGCGCGGGATTCGAACCTCGGACCGAACTACCAGTGTTCAGCGACTTTACCGCTCGGCCGCTGGTGGGCTCGAATCCCGGAAAAGACATGGAGGTCTATTTCCTCATTTTTCATTGAATTAGTATTGCTTCTATTTATAAATATTATGATATTTCAGAATTTTGAACTTTTATTAAGAAAATAGCATCAATATTTGAATAAGCGATTTCCAAATACAATATTTAATAAGTCATGGCAGAATTTTGGAAAAATGTAGCTATAATATTTTGCAAAATAAATAAATAAATAAAATTAAAAAAAAAAAAAAAAAAAAAAAAAAAAAAAAAATTAAAAATCTGAAAGCTTTCAGATTTTACGCCCAAAGGCACGATTTCTCATTTACACACACACATATACGTTTCGAGAGCATTTGGTCTAAAAATATTTAAAAACAACGTATCTTTAGAATTTCCGATAGCAATTTCGAGCGCTGAAGATAAAAATGTTTCATTCCGCTCAGTGTTGCCACTGCTCGCTTTGAAGTCATTGAATTTGTTAATCCAAAATTCGTTAAGTTTTACAAAATATGAAATAGATAATAAAACAAATTCGAAATTCAAACTTCAGGCTTCGGGGTGCCTGTGTTTGAGTGTAGGAATATGTTATTCAGAATTTGATGGCTCTAGGTGCCGTCGTTTTTTCACAGTGGGAAAAACATGCATACAGTCATGCAGATTCTTCAATATTTAATTTTTTAAATATAATACAGGACGATAATATTGATGGCAACAATTTGAAAAGTTATTCAACCCTTTTAGCGATTCGAGGAAAAATGTAGTTTCGCGACTAGTAATCCTTTTGAGCTAATGTCCATTTGGGCTTTAAAAAAAACAAAGAAATAAAATAGAAATAAAAAATGAAATCTGAAAGGATTCAGATTTTAAATTACGTCCAAATTGGCGTTTTCTAACATTTTGTGTGTTACCCTTATTTATTAAATATCATGTTCTTCGCACTTAAACCATAAAATTCAGTTCAAGCAATATCAGCAATTCAGCAATATCGCAAAATAATTTTAAATTGTGCATATATTTGGAACTTCCGATACACAGTCTTGCGCGCTGGAGATAAAAATGTTTTTTCTATGCAACGTTGCGATGGCTCGCTTTGAAATCCTTGAGTTTAATAATCAAAAATTCGTAAAAGTTTTACAAAATAGGAAATCGATAATAAAACAAATTCCAAATTTCAAACTTAGGCTTCCAAATGCCCATATTCGCAAAAGGATTACGTCATTCAAAACTAGATGGCTCTAGGTACCGTCGTTTTATCACAATATGCGAGAAACATACATTTATGCAGATTCTTCATTATTTAATTTCTTCAAATATAATACGGGGCGATAATATTGGGTGGCAACATTTTAAAAAGTGAAACGGAGTGATTCGAAGGAAAATCTCAAAATGAAAACAATAGTTCCTCAGGGACAAAGCTCCTTTGGACTAAAAAAAAAAAAAAAATACTGAAAGCTTTCAGATTTTATATTATGCCCAAAGGAGCTTTTTTAAACGTTTTTCGTGTTACCTTTATTTATTAAATAAATATTATGCTCTTTGCACTTAAACCCTATAAAATTCAATTCAACAGCAATATCACAAAATATTTTAAACCAGCATATCTTTAGGATTTTCGATAGGATCTTTAGGTCCTTACGCGCTGGAGATAAAAGTTTTTTTTTTTTTTTTTTTAATTGTTGTTGTTTTTTGTTTTGTTTTGTTTTGTTTCCTGTAGAGCGCTGCTACTGCTCTCTTTGAAATCGTTGAGTTTGTTAATGAAAAATTCGCGAAGTTTTACAAAGTTTCTTTCCTACATTTCGGGAGAGGCTGAGGCCCAGTTGGCCCCCACTATGTAACCCCTTTGGGAAAGAGGGGAATGAAGATTGAAGATTTCGCGGAAACAGGAACGTTTTTGAGAACCGCGGAAACAGAAAGGCACCATACGAAATAAATAATGAAACAAATTCAGAATTCACAATTTGGGTTTCCAGGTGTCCATGAACGGGTTTAGGACTATTACTCGAGTAAATACTGCATAATGTACGGCGATAATATTTGGTGGCAACAATTTAAAAAGTGATACGCCGTTTATAGTGAACCGAGGCAAAATTTCGTTTCGAGAATAGTAGCCCTTCTGGGTTAATGCTCCTTTGGGCTTAAAAAAATAAGTGCATTTGTTTAAAAGGTGTGCAAATGTCCTTCTTTGAACCTTGCTGGTTATGTCCAGCAGAACCGCTAGTCTAGACTATTGATAATGTCAAAAATATAATTTCATACTGAAACCTAAAGGATTAGACTGCAAATTTCAAATCTGGTTTTGTTTAATTGAAGTTTATTTAAGTAAAATTTTGAAAGCAACTTCAGAGTAGTAGAGAATTTTTTCACTCAGGAGAATGATAATTATCTTGCGTTCGCTTCACATTCCGTTCATAAATTTTTGTCAATAATTTTCTAAAGAATACCTTCATGTATTAAGTATTACTAACAATAACAATCCTGGTACCCCTTAACACAAAAATATTTGACTATTAAAAATGTACCAAAGAATTTTACAAAAGCATTCACTTTAATTTTAATTCATATTCTAGTCTAAGAGATATATCAGCAAGACAAACATATATTTTTAATTTAAGCGAAAATATATGTATTTATATATACTCTGTAAATTAAAATGTACGTATTTCTCTGTAAATATAAATATTTACTGGAGGGAGAAATATTTTCGTATCTTTTTTTTTTTTTTTTTAAATTAGAACTTACCTGCTGGGCTGAAATTTTGGGGAAAGTGCAGAATGACCCACTGCTTGGCACGTTTTTAAGAATTCCACAAACTCCGTATACATGTACAGAGAAAATCAGAGAATTTCACAAATTCGGCATTGCGCAACCCCTTTGTCTATGGACACATCGATGTATTTTCACTTAAAAAATCAAAGGAAATTGACAAAAATCCAATTCTTCTTATTCTTGTAAAACGCGCGGTTTATAAGAATGTGTTTATAACACGCCAATAAAGTGCGCGATTCTGCACTTCACCCGAAATTTTTTAATTCCAGTTTGTGCCAATGCCAATGATTATAAGTTACGGAGTGCCTATGGTTCAAAACTATGTACCTCCACATCAGAAAAATATCTAAGTAGTGAGCAGAAATAGTAAAATTGCATAATTGGTTATCATGATGCACACTAGAGGGAGCTACATTAGCTCGAAAAAGTCTAGGGATAGAAAAAAATCAAGTTTTGATTTTTTTTTTGGCGCAAGTTTTATGATTTAAAACTTTTTTTGTATTTTTTAATTATATATATATATATATATTGTTTTTTTTTTAATTTTATAATACATAAATACGACACTAAAGCAGAAAGCAAAAGGAAAAATTTTACAGATTAATAGGCTCATTGGCATATGGCACAAATCATAGTGAAATAAAGATTAAATTTTCGCGATATCCAGGCAGAAATTTATTTCTGCGGGCATGATGTGATTAAATAGTGAACAGATTGATAAGAATGCAGAGGTGGCCACTTTTCAATTCCAGTTTGTATTCATTTTTGTAATCGAAGAAAATCCATCAAATTAGTATATCATGATTGAAACTGGAACAATAAGAAAGGAAAAATTGCGCAATCATTTCAGATTCATGTATACGTTGCGCCCTTTCTCGTAGGAGGAGATTGACAATGATGCCACGCCTTCTTCGCATTGTCGGCCAATAGACAAGCACAAGCTGATGTCCGAAATCCAGTGATCTAGGCCAATTGCGTGCATGGGTAAAGTGATGACCTCCCACATGAATTGGTCATTTCAGAGAAGGCGGGCAAAAACGTCATTTGCTATCTTGCGCTCCGTATAATTCGATTTCCAGATGATATTCTCACTTTCTGCGTGCAGATTTCAAACTGAAATAATTTAAATTAGGAAAATAATTTAAATGTTTTTAAGTGATCATTTATAAATTAGCAAAGTTAGTTTCTGATATTTACGAGAATACAAAATTGGAGACCTCTGAGGCTGTCAATTTTATTTCTTACATTAGTACGAAGTAATAGTGTAATCTGCTTAGCATTTAAATTGAAAGCTACTCAGAAATTTCCCACGAGACTAGCGGCTGATTTAAAAATTTAAGAACAAATTTGCAAATATAAACATTAGATAGCTAAAATGGCATCAGAAACATCTGTCACGAAGGATACGGACTCAGCTGCTCACTTGATGCAAATTCCATCTCCAGAATTTCCCCAGAAAGAGGAAACTTTCCCACCAAATGTCGAAATTTTAGTGGAAGAAGCTAAGCAAGCTGATTCCCTCTTCCAGGTTCCTGTGGATGGTCCAATCGATGAGTACTATTGGTTATCTCAGCCGTACTCTGTTGTACCCCAACATACATACAGCGGAGGATCGCATCACTGTCTCAGCACCTTTACCAGCTCATCGACTTTTGCAGAGCTTCACAGTCCACCAGTCCAGGAGTGCTTGATTTATGATGCCTCGCTAACTCCTCATTATTTAAAAGGATCGCGAACCCATTTGAGGAATTCAGCATCCAGTAATACCAAGCTTGAATCAGGAAGATTTTCCTACACGGGAAGAAACAGATCAACGCATTTTAGAGATAGAGGTTAGTAGTATTTTATAATTTTGTCTTTTTCAGAAGTTTTTTTGAACTGTAGGAATATTTTAACAATTGAGTAGAATCTTATTTATCCGAATTAATTGAGATCACAGCGGTTCGGATTAATGAAAATTCAGATTAAACGAGGAGGAAAAAAAAAAAAAAAAAGTCGCTCAGAGACAAAGCCCCTTTGGACTAAAGCTCTCAGATTTTACATTACGTCCCAAGAGGCGTTTTTTTAACATTTTGTGTGTTACCTTTATTTATTAAATATCATATTCTTCGCGCTAAAACCATAAAATTCAGTTGAAGAGCAATACCGCAAAATAATTTTAAAATGAGCCTATCTTTAGAATTTTCTTTAGATTTCCGAGTCTCCGGCGATAGAGATAAAAATGTTTTTTCTGTATCACGTTGCCTCGCTTTGAAATCCTTGAGTGTGTTAATCAGAAATTGTTAAGTTTTACAAAATATGAAATCGATAATAAAACAAATTCTAAATTCCAAATTTCGTCTTCCAGATTCGCAATAGGATTACGTCCGTCAAAATTTGGATGGTTCTAGGTACCGTTGTTTTGTCACAATGCGAGAAACATACATACATTCATGTATATTCTTCGTTATTTAATTTTTCGAATATAATACAGGGCGATAATATTGGGTGGCAACAGTTCGAAAAGTTATACGCCTTTTAAAGACTTCAACGCAAAATGCCAAAACGGAAACAATAGTCCCTCTGGGACAAAGCCCCTTTGGACTAAATAAAAATACGCCCAAAGGGGCGTTTTATTTTACGTTTTGGGGGTTACCTTTATTTATTAAATATCATGTTCTTGGCACTTAAACCGTAAAATTATATTCAACAGCTTTATCACAAAATATTTAGAAGACCATATCTTTAAGAATTTCCGATACAGAGTCTGGCGCGCTTGAGATAGTTCCCCCTCCCCGTACATTCTTGCAATGGCTCGCTTTGAAATCGTTGAGTTTCTTAATCAAAAACTCATAAATGCTTTACAAAATATGAAACAAATAATAAGACAAATTCCAAATTTGGGCTCTAAATGCCCATAGTCGGGTGGAAACGTACGTCATTCAAATTTGGATGGCTCTCGGTACCATTGTTTTATCACAATGCGAGAAACATCCATACATTTATGCAGATTCTTCGTTATTTAATTTCTTTGAATATAATACAGGGCTGTAATATTTGGTGGCAGCAATTTAAAAAAGTGATTCGCCGTTTATAGTAAATCGACGCAAAATGCCAAAACGATATTAATAGCCCTTCTGGACCCTTCTGGACCTTCTGGCCCCTTTGGACTAATTATCTGGAAATATGACAAAAGGTATTAAAAATTATGAAAATTTCAAAACTGCGTTATCTTAATACGTGTTTATCCCGTGCTCATTCAACTACTGACTACAAAATTATTTAACTTACAAAGAATTTCAACTGTTTAAAACAAATTTACTTTGGAGATAAATCTTTGGCCCTTCTCTTACTGGCCAAGTATTTGAAGAAACTGAAGGTCTTCTTTCGGATTGTTGAAGAGTTTATTTCTTTGATTATTAAATCGCGAAGAAATTTTAAATATTCGCTAATACATTTTTATCGCATATCCTTCGGACTCGTCGTTATCACTCTGTCTACAGTTTCTGTCTCATTTAAAATTTGATAGCCCAGGTCACCTCCGTTCGCTTTCCGTCCGTTCACCGAACTACCAGTGTCCAGCGATTTTACCGCTCGGTTGCTGGTGAGCCATCTATAACTTGAGAGGAGAAGTACTTAACTATAAGAGAAGTTTCATCTGGGAATATATTGCTCTTTTTTAATGGATGTCTTGCCCTAGCAAAATAACATGTACTGCCACTTAAAATAAATACTTACGTTTAGTCTCATGCATAAGCGATATAATCAAATAGATACACAGTTACATCTTGAATAATTAAATCTTTTCTTTATTAAATAAGTGCACACGTTTTTACATGGTATTTACTTTACTTTGAAATAACATCACAGCTGTCTTCTCCCTATTCGCCTTTTACCATTTTGAACAATTCTTTTTAAAGGTAAGATTTTTATGCTATAAGTATTCTTACTTTTTAGTTCTACAACTTTTATATTTTTTAAAACTTTAACAGTAAATCTTCTGAGATGTTAAACTGTAATTTGAAGTTTTTAGATTAATTACTAGTATTAATCTAATTAAGTTAATACTTTTTATTTAACTATTACTTATTACTTAATTAAGAGTTATTAATAATTTCTTCTCCCCTTCCTTCTCTATCTCACATCCCCCCCCAAAAAAAAGGATTCACCTTTAAGGATGACGTTCTAGTTCTAGTCTATATTGGTTTCATTCGTTACCTATTTTTACGATTTAAATTCAGTTGTATAGTAATTAATATTTTTTGGTGATTGTCTGATTGTTTAATAGGTGTCTGGATTAAAGAAGTTTTACTATTTTAAAACCTTGTAGAGTCATTAGGTTATTTTTATGGGGGAAACGAGAAAAAACGAGCAATGCCCTCCCCGGGACTCGAACCTGGACCTGTCGAATACGCTCCGAGTGTGTAACCATTACACCACAAAGGCATTCTGGAAGGAGAGAGAAAATACCTTACATACTCCTTCTTTTAAAAGGCGACTGGGGATTAGGGGACGCCAAACCCTGGTGGTGAAGAAACATCATCCACCACTTTTTAGTTCTGATAACTTGGACCTCTCGAATACGCGCCGAGTGTGCTAACCATTACACTACGAAGGCGCGCAGTAAGGAGGGAGAAAATACCTTGTTAATTCTAATATTAAGACCAAGCAACTAGATATAACTTTGAAACTTATAGAGTTTCTCACTTTTATTCTATTGAACTAAGTGTTGAAGAACCTAGTGAAATGCTAAGCGAATAATCGCTTAAGAACAGAAACGTAAACTCAAGAAGGGTTAATTATCCTGTATTTACTCCAAATAAAGATTTTGCAGTCAGCCTCTTTCTCAGGGCGTACAGCAAAGTCTGCACTTAGGCTTGAACTCAAAATGTAAGAAATCAGAACTTAACTACTGACTAACTAAAGAGATTTAGCCGAAGCTAACGCAGTTCTAAACTAGTTGGCCGGTAATAATAAATTAGACGGCGAACTATCAAAAGGCACGTAATACGGCAGAGCGTAGTAATAGTCAGAGAGACGTAGCCCAAAGGCAAACGCGCGCTACTCAGGAATCCTAACTCTCTCTGGGAGTTGAACTTGACTCAAATACTATTCTACTTCTCATTTGCATTAACGCGATTTTAAAAACTTATTCTGGTAGGGAGTTGTAAGCGAAAGCTAGGAGAGACAGGAAAGAGACATAAAATAACTGTTATAAAATTAAAATATACCTTACCTTTTAAAGAACCTTTTAAATTACCTTTTAAAGAAAAAGTGTTCGCATTTTGTTACATACATGTCGATATCTTGCGTCTATTTACGAATTATAATAAGTCCAAAGGGGCTTTGTCCCTGAATGACTATTGTTTTCGTTTTGCGATTTTGCGTTGATTCGCTACAAACGGCGAATCACTTTTCAAAATGTTGCCACAAAGTATTATCACCTTATGATATATTTAAAGAAATTAAATAATGAAAAATCTGCATAAATGTATGTATATTTTTCGCATTGGGATAAAACAACAGTACCTAGAGCCATCCAATTTGGAATGACGTAATCCTCCTACAAATACGGGCAGGTGGAAGACCAAATTTGAAATTTGTTTTGTTATCGATTTCATATTTTGTAAAACTTTAACGAATTTTTGATTAACAAACTCAAGAATTTCAAAGCGAGCCATGGAAACGTTGTACAGAAAAAACAGTTTTATCTCCAGTGAGTCTCTGTATCGGAAATTCTAAAGATATGCTCATTTTAAAACTATTTTGCGATATTGCTGTTGAACTGAATTTTATGGTTTAAGTGCAAAGAACGTGTTATTTAATAAATAAAGGTAATACACAAAATATTAAAAAAACGCTAGTTTGGACGTAATTTAAAATATGAAACATTTCAGATTTTCTTTCTTTCTTTCTTTATTTTCTGATGCATGGTTTTGAAAGACAGTTGCTATGTCTCTTTAAAATAACAGATCAAGAAATCTGCTTTGCAGAGTTTTACAGTATTAAATTTTGATGTAAGTAGATAAGAAGGCAAAACAAATTGTAGTCATTACTCATAGAAATTTAAAAGAATGTACAATAAAAACGATGAAGCATTTCGATTCAGATTCTAGTTTAACATTTGAAATATACACAGTCATAAACAAGTGTATTTTCTGTGTAAAACATGCCAGTTCATTACAGAAAATCGTATTTCACTGTACTATGTATTTCCTTTTAGGTATATATGACATATCTACTAGAAGAATGAATCCTTTTTTCAAGAATCAGGAGAAATATTTATTCATTACATAGATATGATACGTCAAAGCGTCGAATATCTTAATTCGAAGTGGAAAGATTTCAAATCAATCAAAAGATTAAGTATAAAGATCAAAGATATAAATTTCCTATAAGACAAACCAACAACAACAATAACAATAAAAATCTGAAAGCTTTCAGATTTTACAACTACGCCCAAAGAGATTTTTTCTTAACCTTTTGTGGGTTACGTTTATTTATTAAATATCATGTTCTTGCCACTTAAACCATAAAATTCAATTCTACAGCAATATCGCAAAATGATTTTAAAATGAGCATATCTTTAGAATTTCCGATACACAATCTCGCGCGCCGGAGATAAAAATAATTTTTTTTTTTTTTTTTTTTTTTTTTTTACAACGTTGCCATTACTTGCTTTGAAATCGTTGAGTTTGTTAATCAAAAATTCGTTGAAGTGCTGCAAAATATGAAATCGATAATAAAATAAATTTCAAATTCCAAATTAGGGCCTCCAGATGCCCATGTTCGGTAGAAGATTACGTTATTCAAAATTCAATGGCTCTAGGTACCGTTTTTTTATCACAATGAG